TTTTTTCACACTCGATCGCTTTTCATTAGGTATTTTTTACTGTGGTCCCTCTTATCTCCTCGCTGAGTGATATCATCCACTAACGGGCCTGGGTAGACCTAGTTTCTAGGGTTTTCCCATTATTTAGACTCACCGAAGGATAGGAGAGCTGACAACGACGTCTTTTTAGTCTTCACAAAAACCGCCCCTTACTTAAACCAATGGTCATTTGTACTTCGACAGGATATATCGTTTCAATTATTGGGCCCTATTTGTCCGACTGGCATAATAATGATGCCAGCATCGTGTTATGATCTGCCATTCCTGGCAGCTCATAAGACTGTGTTTTCTTCTTCTCCTTTCTTTCTGTTATTGCGCAACTCTTGTTTCATTCTTTCGTTTTCGTTTCTTTCTGTTATTGCGCAACTCTTGTTTCATTCTTTCGTTTTCGTTTCTTTCTGTTATTGCGCAACTCTTACTTCATAATGGGATTTTCCTAAACTATTTCTGTTCTTATGTAACTCTTGCATAACTGTTGTTCAACTTGTGTACTATATATAGCCGTTCACTTTCTTAAATAAACATGAGAAGTGAGTGAGTAGAACCTCACACATCGCCACTCATATTTTCAGTCTGAATCAAGAGAATATCAGGAGTCGGTTGCAAGAAAATGATATACTTGTATACTTGACAGGGGCTTTCGTGACTGTCTAGAAGCCCTTGGAAATATGGGTTATAGAACATTCATGCCTTTGTTTCTTCCAAAAACAACTAGAAAATATACCACTCAACAAGCTAACAATAACAGATTCATCACTGCACTGCGATTTGTAGTTGAAAATGTTAACGGGCGGCTCAAACAATGGAGATTTTTCGACAAGGTCGTGCAAAATTCATCGTTGAAATTTGTTCATGGCTATCTTTCGATCGTGGCTAGCCTAATAAATGCCTACCGCCCAAGTTTTATCAATGACACATCACATGATGAAGAACTAGCGAAAGCGTTTTTTGAACGAAAAGATATGATTAATGATTTGGAGAAAAACTTAGAAGACAAAGACATTATGAAAGCTAGACAATGGCTAAAATATGACGCTGCGCAAGCCTGTCCTGACTTTCCAATATTGACTGAAGAAAAACTCAGGGAGTTTACACTTGGTGTTTTTCAGGTGAAACAAGCGCGTAGCTATACAGTCGAACACTTAGACCTTGACGGAGAATATGAAATACGAGTTCGAAAGGAAGATAAACAATTACTTCGTGTAAATCTTCAAAGCAAACATTCAGCCAGAAAAAATTATCATATTTTGATTAAGTACAATGATGAGACTGGCACTGGAGCATGTTGTCAATGTTCAGTCGGTTCGAGGACCGTCGGAACATGTAGTCATGCCACAAGTGTTATATGGTACTTAGGTATAGCAAGACACGAACCAGACAAATATCTAACCACCCGATCATCAAAATACTTGGAACTTTTTGAAGACGCGAATCATTACTCATCTGAGTCACCTGACGACGACAATACACTCTATACCCTCGCTGACTAGAATTTTCACTACGTTAGGTCACAGAGACATGTTTCGGCCTTGCCTACGGGCCTCATCAGGGGGAAACTTGAGATCCAAACACTATTTGTGTGCAGAAAAATACATTATATGTCTTATCTAATTCCCAATTGTTCAAACTATCGCATATTAGCCATTTTTTTTACATACGTCTTGGAAAAAATGCAACT